AGTCAAGGCCCCATCTGTGTGTCCTGGCTCAGAGTGGACACTCCTGGTGAGAAGCTCAGGCCACACTGGGGACTGGGGCAGAGATTGACCTCTGCCAGGCAATGCCCACCAACCTGTGGCTGATACCTGCCCCACCAAAGCAGGGGTGGGGAACAGGAAGGACATGGAGGTGTGCTGTTTCAGGAAGCTCTTTCTTTCCAGAGCCCACCGGACACTGGGGTCCCCTCTCCTTCCCACTTTGTTGGTCCGTTCCACCGGTCCACTTGTATCAGATAGGCAGAGACCTCAGGACTGTTTGTACGTGGTGCGCCATGGCGTATCCCACCCTCCACGGTTACTGCTTACACAGTTCTCAGTCAGCCCCCAAAGCAGCTATTCCCCAGACCACAGCATAGCCCCTAGCAGGATGGAGACGTTGATAATGCTCCCATCACACACAGAATAAAATCCTAAGTCCTCACCATGGCTCTCAAGGCCTTACTTGATCGGACCCCAGAGAACTCTGGATTCATTGCCTTCTCTCTCCCCCTTGCTACGTGAGCTCCAAGATCCCAGGTTGAAATCTCCATTCAGCCACTTAATAGCTGTGTTACTTTGGACAAGTCCTCTCTGAGTTACCATCTCCTGTGCAAAGTAGGGATAGTAAAAGTACTTGCTTCGGGGCGCCTGGGTGGCTCAGGTGGTTGAGCATCTGCCTTTGTCATGATCTTGGGGTCCTGGGATCAAGCCCCGTGTTGGGCTCCCTGCTCAGTGGGGAGCCTGCTTCTCCCTCTCCCTGCTGCTCCCCCTGCTTGTGTTCTCTCTCGCTCTCTGTCAAGTAAATAAATAAAATCTTAAAAAAAAAAAAAAAGTGCTTGCTTCAATGTTGTGAGGTTAAGCAAGAGAATCCAATGGAAAGCTCTAAGAATGTGCCTGGCACATAGTGAGCACTTGGTTACTATTTCTGCTTGTCCCGCTCCTCCTCTGCCTCTCAGTGCCACCACCCCCACTGTGTACATCTTAGGGCCTTTGGAGGGAGAGCTGTGGAGCCCCAGGCCTTCCATCTCCAGATGAGACTGCAGAGGCCACAGTGGAGGAGGAACTCGCTTCAGGGCCACACAGCTGGCCTGTGGCCCAGGCAGGACTTGAACCCAGGACTCCTGCTGAGTCCCCCTGCTCCTTCTGCTTGTCCTCCCTTCTCAGCCCAGCACAGAGCGGCAGCAAGCAGGACCTACACTTATGTGCTTGGACCCTATCAGGCTGGACAGCGTTCTTCTCCACTTTAAGGAATGAGTTACATCCTGAGGTCTGTTTCATGGCCCGTGTGTAATCTTCCTTATGATGCTTTATCATATTTCTGGGGCAGCATCTGCATGGCTTTGAAGACTCTGGCAGGAGCTATGAACAGGCTGAATTACATTTATAAGAGGCCTTTAATGCCCTGTGGTCTCGGCTTCTTTAATGGGGATTTTCTTCCTCCTCTTTTCCCCTCTCCCTTTCAATCCAGTTCCCGGTGTGGCTTTCCTGGTGCAGTTTGGATTCCTAACAGAGAAGTCAAGACCATAGAATCCCTTCCAAATCTTCCCTCCCTCTTTCCCCTTCCTACCCTCTGCGGCCTGTGCCAAAGCCCCAAGAAAAGAAAATGTTGCTCCTGTCAGGATTTCAGTGGGAAGGAGAGAAGCCCTGTTGGGGTTCCAAAAAATCAGCCGGGAAATGGCTGCTATGGAAATTCTCCTCTGACTTTGCCGCTGAGCAACAGACCCATGAGCCTTGTGTGTGTGTGTGTGTTGGGGGAAGGGGGAGGGGTGGAAGGTGTCCGGCACAGAGGCAGGGCGGCCTCACTTGCAGGGGGTCGGCGCGAGGGGCGAGGTAGGGGTGCCGTACCAGTGTGGGTGGGGAGCCCATGCACCTGTCCCCCCACTTCTCCCACCCCCATCCCTTCCTTCTCCCAGCCTTCTGCACCTTAGGGAGGCCTTCACTGTCCCTTAACCATTAGTTTTCTGCTGGTTCTGCCTGCAGTGGGATCAGGTGTTCTGTGATCTTTGTATCTATCCCCACATTTTGGGGACACCAAACTCAGAGGAGGGGTTAGCCTTGAGATTGGGGCATTGGAGAGGGAGGCAGTTTGTCTCCCATCTGCCTCCTCTCCTTTTCCTCGCTCGCCAGGATGGGAAGGGACAGGCGTGCTATTTTTGGAGAATGGATAAGTCGTGTTTCCTCTCCTTTCAGGAGGAGCGCAGGGTAGAGCCAGGTCTGTGGGCCTGGGTCCCCACTGCGGTCTCTCCTTCACTTTCCTCCGCTGCTCAGACGAGTCCTTCGGGTTGTCGCGTGGCCACAGGCGTCCCTGGGCCAGGGGAACTTCCAGCTCCCGAGGAAGGAGGCTCAGGCAGAGCGCTCAGAAAGCCTGGCCAGGGCTGCCTGGCATCTGGTCAGGCCCGAGAGTGGGTCTCCTGCTGCTGCACGTGTAGTGCCCGCGCCGTCCCCAGGGCTGTGCGCCTATGCCCCTGCGGCATGCGGGCAGTAAGGTGACAGGCAACCAGAAAAGGGGTAGGAGGCAAAGAGGCCAGGAATACCAAATCTGTGACATCTTCCCCCAAGGAAAAGAATTCTCCCGTGTCTTGATAAATCACGTTTTATCTCCTTTCAAAAGGAACACACGTGGCAGAGCCAATTTATCTTGATGACATTGTCCAGTCTGCGGAGTATCGTGCCTCTGCCGGGGAGATGGCTCGTGTGCCCGGCCTCAGAGAGGAAGGCAGGAGAGAAAGCTGGAGGGACAATCCAGGAGAGGAAAGTGAATGGGCCAGCGGGTACCTGGGGGGCACCTTCTGCTGTGTGCAAAGCCCTGTGCTGAGTGGAGTGTGGCACCAAGGGGAGGAAGGAGCTGGTCGCATCCGATGTGGGGGGACGTGAGACACAGGGCTGGTGACCGGTACCTCAGGTGACAGGGAGCTCAGGCGAAAGCAGCTGCCTTCAGTGCCCCCCACTCCTGGACCCCTACCCTTCACCTCTATCTCCACAGGCTGCTCATGGGAACAGCCGGGGGCTTTGTTCCTAGCCTCACAAACCTACTCTGCTCAAGTGCCAGAGATGCAATGCTCTCATATGGTCCCAAGCGGGGAGCTGGTGATAAATGCTCCTCGCTCGCCCTCAGTCGGGATACCTCTGAGGTATAGTCCATTTTACTATCCCCCGGAGTTCAGCAGCGGACCTGAGCTGTGGCTCCCCATGGGGATTAGCTGGCTGGGTAACACTCCCTTCCCTTTCCTGCCTTCCTTTCCACACCCCCCTGGCATCGTCCAGGAACAGGTCCCAAATAAACCACTGATGCACCTCATCTCTGGGTCTGCTTCTGGGAAACAACCTAAACCACGACAACGCTCAGTACCTCCCTAGGGCCTCGACAGAAGAAGCTCACGTGAATTGATATGCAAGCTACATATTTGTTCACATGCAGTGGCATTTATCTTAATTAGAACTCCTTTGATGCAAGTGATAAAAATCCATCTCCAACTAATTTCAATAAAAAATAATTTTTTTGCTTTATACATGTGACAGGTATCAAGTAGACCTTGGGTTCAGAACAGCTATGTCCTCCAGCTGCTCAAAAGATGTCAAAGGAATCTGCCCTTTGTCATCTCTTTACTCTGCTTTTCAACCATTCAGGAAGCATTTATTGAGCATTTGTTCCAGGCACCGCCCCTTTCTCTCAGTAGGTTTCCTTCTCAGGCAGTAATAAAGATGGCCACAAGAAGCTCCAGGCTTTCATCCTTCCAGCTCAGCGACTGTGGGAGAGAAAGGGCTCCAGCAGAAGTCTCAGGGCTGACCCTCCTTGGGGCAGATCGGGTCCCCTGCCCATCTCTGAGCCAATCACTGTGACTCTGGTTGGCTGGGCTGGGTCACATGCCTACCCTTGTTGCCAGGGAGTGTGGTTGGCCCCTTTGAACCACAGGGACTGGGAATGGAGGAGGGAGGCTCTCCAGAGGGAAATCGGACAGACAGGGACAACAGATGCCTATTACAGCTCTAGGACCAGCACTTTGCCGCTTGTTGAGCCATGTGTTTCTAAGATGTGCCACACAGGCCCCTGATGGAAAGAGGCTGTCAAATACCTGTAACATACAGCAGAATGGGGCACATGCCTTAGGAATGGACAAAGTGTGTGAATGTTCTGGAAAGAGGGAGATTACTCCCAGCTTGGCCAATCAAGCAAGAAGGCCTTCTAAAGGGGCATTGACCTAGACATTGATGGCCACGGGCCACAGAAATGTCAGCTGTGTTAGGACTTGAAAGTCGGACCAAGGAGTTCAAATTCTAAATTGAACCGGCTGAAAAGGACTATGCATTGATCTCGTTGTTGAAATGGAATTGGGCTAGCTCAGAAGAGCCTGCTGGGAAGGTTTGAGGGGCTGGCATTTCCTGTAAGCCCCGCCCATACCTGCAGAGGGGTGTACCAGCCCATCTAAACCATGACCTGAACTGCTAAAGGCTGTGTGTACAGAGAGGCTGGAGGAAAGTCAGGCTGGGGCCGCCGTGCTCCCTTGGCGTTGGCCCGCGCCCGCCCTGGAAATAGCCACCCACCTAAACTAAGAATAGGAATTCCTGCCTGGCTGGCAGGAGTGAATGCCGATTTCTCAAGGAGGGAAGGGCCTGAGAACAAAACACAGCGTGTGGGTTGGGCTGTCCTTTGTATTTATTCGTGAGGTCACTTGGGAGCCGCGCCCACGTCAGGCCATCGATCCTGCCATCAGACCCAGACAAGGTGATTTGGCCAAGATGGCAGCCTCGGAGGCTGCTCCCGTGCCCCAGCGGTCCTGGGCCCTCAGCCTCGGGCGCCTCCTGCCCCCTGGGAGAGGTGACTGTTCCTCTCTTGTTTTCTTGACAAGGGGCAGAGGTGGTGGCACTTGGTGGCCAGCTAAAACGCTGGGAAGCCGAGGGAGAGGGAAACGGGAGGGCAGGAGGCCCGCGTCCCATGGCAGCTTTCCCCAGAGTCACCCGGCTCACAAGCGTCTCTCTTCCAGGCAAAATCCTCTTCCGGAGAAGCCACATCCGGGATGTAGCTGTGAAGAGGCTGAAGCCCATTGATGAGTATTGCCGGGTAAGGCTGTGTCTGGGCGGGAGGCGGTGGCGGGGGGGGGGGGTCCATCTGCCAGAGAGTCTGTGCATCTGTGAAGGAGGGCCGTCTGTCCCAAACCTCCTGCTGCGGTCTAGCAGGTGCAGCCTGACGCCCAGAAAGGCCAGGGCAGTGGGTCTGAGTGTCCCTCAGGGAGGGGTCACTCGTGACTGGGCCACCCTCTGGGGCACAAGGGCCTTGGGATCACAGCTGAGACTTCTTTCGGGACATGCCCATGTTTACAAAACACTATTTTAAATCACTTCCAGTGGCTTGGGAGCTCGGGTCTCCCACCGACGGGATGTTCTGTATGTGACATTTTGCTGGACACAGGAGAGCTATTGCTTTGAATTACTTTTGGGACCAGAGTTGTTGGAATCGGTTCTGAGTTCAATAGCACCTGAAACCTCTGAAATGCCTATTTGTTTATTCACGGAAGTCCTGATGGTTACGGATGTTCATGTACACATTTTTAGCCATGCAAGTGCTCACACACTCACACACAGAGGCACGTGTGCATGAAAACAGCCAATGCCATAGAAGAGAGGGAGAGTGTCAGCAGTGTCATGAGGAAGAGCCCATTTGTCTTTCCAGTTTGACTAGAGCCTGGGACCCCTGCAGTGAAAATGACAGGCTCCTACTTCAGTGGCCTTGGCACCTGGCCTCCGGATGGCTAGGCTACCTGGGTTCAAATCCCTCACTAGCTCTGTGAACTTGGGCAAGCCACTTAACTTCCCAGAGCCTCAGTTTCCACATCTGTGTGATAGGGAGGAGAACAGTAGCTCCACAGAAGGCCGTCATGGGGTGGAAAGGAACTGCCTGACACAGGCCAGGCACCAGCAAGCGTCCTTCACAGAGGAGGTATTCAGTTGACGCCAGCTCTTGATTATTATTACTACAAGGCATAAACAAGTTAATGTTCCCACTGGCTTTCATGGAGATAGGATTTCTTAGTTAAGTGAAACCCGCTGTGGAGTCTGACTCAAGAATCTTGAGGAGAGGCAAGTGTGGGATTGTCTTTGGTTGCAAGTGCTGCTATTAGAGTGAGAAGAGCTGGGATCGAATCCCACTGCCCACCCCCACCCCGCCACTAGCTCCATGACTCTGGGCAAGCTAGTCTACCTCTCTGAGCCCCAGGTTCCGTCATCTATAAAACAGGGTAAAGACAGCTCCCTTGCAGGGCTCCTGAAGGGGGCTAGACTGGAGAATGTGTATCATAGTGTTTGTCGCTTCTCAAATGCTCTGTCCCTACGCAGAGTTGTGACTGCAGGGTCTCTTTATGTGCTAATACTTCATGATTCAGAAACACTATGTTGGGCAATAAAATGTTTAAATAAGAAGCAAATTGCTAAATGTATTAACTGGTGCTCCCAAGACAATAGGAAGACGAGCGCTCCCATAGAGTCTGCATTAACCCAAGTTTCAATTTTGTAGCTGTGTCAATTATACCTGATCACATTTTCTGCCTTGACCTAGAAAGAATTCCCCATGATAAATTCCCTTACTTAACCCGAGAAGCTCCTCTTCTTCAGATCAATATTCATTTTTCTCTTTAAAGCGCATTTGCCATTTCCAGTTCAGTTGATGGCTGCCTCCTGAGCTCTTACTTCTCTTTATTACTTTCCCAAGAAGCTAAATAAATGGGCACAGCCCATGGAGGAGGGGGTGAAGGGGGCAGGCCTCTCCCAGCTGGGGATTTATGGCTCACATCAGCCTCGGAGGCTGGTGGAGCCTGAGGCATCTGCAGTCGTTGTGTCCTGGGCCATCCGGAGGAGGAAACCGATAACATCTTATCTCCGGGGATCAGGCTTTGAACCGGACTCCTGAATCAGGATGAGATTCAGGGGGGCTCTGGGGCCCCAGTGGTGCTGCTGCTGGTGGCCGGGGGCGCCATTTAAGTGGGGTCTGCAAGAGGCGGGGCCTCCTAACCTGATTAGCCCAGACAAGAGCTGCTCAGAGCCAGGCAACAAGGAGCAGTGTCCGGGATTCAGCAAGCAGCCAGCCCTCTCTGAGGCCTCTAATTTACTCTGGGAATGGCAAGGGGGGGCAGGTCAGTGCAGAAGTGACCTTTCATTCTGCTGAACTAGAAAGCTGGGATCTGTGGTCTGATAGTCAGAGACCTTGGAATGACCTTGCAATGGCCATTAGGGATAAGCCAGAAACAGTGCTTATGGCCAGTGCCCCCCCGCCGGCATTGCCCATCACAGTTCTGCCTCCTCATGGTCCAATCTGTGGCCACTCGGGATCCAAGTTTTGCTCAACATCACTGGCCCCCTCTGTGAATTCCATGATCGGTGCCATGTACGGTCTACTCCATGGCCAGCCCTTCCTTTGTCCATGTCTGTCCTTGGACACACTGCTGAGAACCTCTGGGGTTTTTATTTCCAGTACCCTGCCTGTGCAGCTCTGCTTGGCTGGCCAATGTCTTCCTTGGACTGCTAGACAACGTGAACTCCTAGGCCAGGATTTGCTGGGGATTCAAATGCACCCAAGACTGTGAAGCTGGCTCTGCACCCAGAGCGACCAGCTCCTCTGCCAGGACTCAGACGTGGAAAGTCTGACCGTGCGGTAGACCTCCCCAGACTTCGGGCTCCCTGCCCTCGCTGGCCAGCCGGTCCCTCTGCCCAGAGGTGGTTTCACAGCCCAAATCTCAGTGTTAATTTTAAACATATATGGAGCAGATTGGATGGGCGTCACGGAAAATTTACCGAGCACCAGCCAGGTGATTGTTTTATGTGGCACTTGAGGGCTGGGTGTCTATCAAGAGGGGTTCCAAAGGCATTTCTTTAACTCCATAAATTAATTTAATGGGCAACATGGTTATGCGGTTAATATTTAATGGTTCTGTGGCCTCAAAAAGTCGAAGACTTTCATCTCACTAACAAGCGTGAGCTATACTTTAGGGGCTCCGACTAACAGTTTTATAAGTGACTCCATTTACCCCGTTCCTGCGTGTGAAATACATGTTTGCAGTGTTTGTCTGTGGGATAAAATAAATATCCCGGGGCAGGGGGTGGGTGGGGGGGCAGCGAGAGGGAATGATCAACTTGCTCTTTGCCATGGTAATGACATTTATACAAGTCTCCATTTCCTGGTGGGTGCAGCTAGAATTTTTTTTTTTTCTTCAAAAAGCTGAGATTGCTTCTATTATTCTGCTGTCCAAGATAGACTTGCTTTCAGGATCAATGGCTTTCTTTGTGGGAGGGATGAGGGGTTGGTTGTAGTCAGACGGGGGGAGGGGGGGTCAGCCCTGAAGGACAGCCTTGAAGGCCCACCCTCCACATCGCCCAGACTCATTCATTTTTATCCCCACTTCCCAGATTCGAAAACTGAGACTATTTTGGGTGGTTCTTAGTCCCAGGCATCTCCCTCCCACCATGCATGGCCCATCATTGGCTCTCACCTTAATAGAGAGAAAGGTTCATGTCCCAACCGAAACATACTCCTTGAAGAAGCACCATGGCTTCCCGTTATACTTAGTCCTAGATGTAGGATTGACTGTTCTTGTGGCCCTCATTCTAAGGGCTGGCCTGGGCCAGGAGTGTTGCTGATGGGGAGACTGAGGCAGAGAGCGAAGATTGATCTGTTCATCCCTTCCAAGTGGGCTGGTACTCTGGGGAAACCCAACTGGTAGAATCTCTCCATCTCTGTTAGCCCACATAGACTCAGGAAAAGGATTTCCAGTCTGGGATAAAGCTGATTGTATCCCTTTTCTCCTTAAAGACCCTCAGGGGAGCCCCCACTGCCCACAAGAACCTGTGAGGGGCTTGGCTGGGCCCTCTGTGGGCTCGTTCCAAGTGTTGCTCAGGCCTTGGCACCTGCCTCTCCTCCCCGCCCTGCAGTCCAGTCCATCAGAAGTGCAGCCGTTCCCAACTAGCCAGAGTCCCTTAGGCTGCCACCCCTTTGCCCCTACTAGTCTTTTTCCTGGGGATGCATTCAGCTCCCACGGTGCCCCTCCTAGAAGCCCCCTGACTCCCCAGGGAAAGCCGAGCACCCCAGAAAACTGTGCATGCCTCCAGGCAGGACACCTATCCTCCATAGGAGGACAGTTTCTGTCTGTCCACCTTCTCCGGACCAGGAGCTCCTTGAAGGCCACATCTGTTACCTTTGCGTCTTCAATAACAAGCAGGAAGCCTGGCCTCATGTGGGTGTCCAGCCAGTGCCTGCCGACAAGATACAAAGATCACACACAAGCAGAGGACACCTCCCAGGAGGGTGACATGGCCCCAAAGCCCCGATGTACCAGGAGCCCTTGTGACAAGGCTTCACTTGCTGCTGCGAACAAGACGCTGTTTCCATTTCAAAAGGATTTTCAGCTCCGTCCTTCAAAAAGAGAACTCCTGTGTTTGAAATACTGATTTACAGAAGCTCCGTGAGCCCAGCTTCCTAGATGGAGATCCAGGAGAAACAGTCCAGGCAGGCCAAAGGCAGCCCAGGGGTGGGCTGGGGGCAGGGGGTGGGCGGCCAGATGGATGGGACTCCAGCCCCGTGTGCCATGCCCCCACCCCACCCTTAGTCCCTGGGCTTTTACCCAGAAGATTTCCATTGATTAGAAATCAAAATGATGTTCCTAAAAAGAGGAAAATGTTTGATCCCATGGAAAGAGCAGGATGCCCACGGTTGTTTTGCCAAGTGTAAAACGTTTTTGTCCTTGCACAGACCTACCCAGAGTGGTGGGCTTCGTGGAGGGGGGTCCTTTCGAAGAAGGTCTGAGGACAGTCTGCCTGGGGCCCCCTCCCATGCCACCGCACTGGAGAAACCAAACTTGTGCCAGCCACATCTGGGTGGAGGTCTCAGAGGTACACAATGCAGCCACCCTCTCTCTTATCTGAAAATGCGTCTTCTAGAATGATAACACGGTGCAAATGGTGGCCCATGTCAGTGGCTCCCAGAAAATGGTGTGGGGCAGGCCAGGAGCTAGAGACCTCAGGGCAATTTAGGACTGGGGAAGCGGGGCCCTGGAAGGACTGGCTGATGGCAAACCTGGGTGGCTTTTTAGCACCTCTTCACCAGTCTCCCCCATCCCTAGGCACCCACTGCCCTCGGCTCCTTCCCTTGCCTTGTTTCTCCAGATCTGCTCTTAGCCAGCTCACAGACCCCCTGGACCACGGAATGGCAAGATCAGAAAGGGACTGAAGTCAGCTCAGCTGACGTGGGACAGGGGCCTGCATACTCTAAGCAGCCCAACGGGGCAGTGCCCCCTCCCTAGATGCTGAGGGCTAGGAGGTCATGCTCATTCCAGCTTTTCCCACATAACCTGAATCGAAAGGCTCGGTCGGATTGAATGATAGGTCAGACACTGAATTCACTCATAATGGTGCTGTTTGCAGTGCTGGAGCCGTGGACTATTAGAGCTGGAAGAAGTTTCAGAATGTCTGTAGCCTGGGTTCGTCCCAGCTGTGTTCCACGGCTGTTAGTAGGAATTGTTGGAGGACCTGCTCTATAATCAGAGACCTGTGGATAGTGCCGGAGGCAGTACAGACCAGTAGATCAGACGGAACACAGGCTCTGGACTCAGATGGCCTCACTGAAAATCTTGCTTACTGGCTGTGTGGCCTTGAGAAATTACTTAACCTCTCTGTGCTTTATTTGCTTCTTCTGTAAAACTGGAATTAGTCATAATGTGATGATGAAATGAGCCAATTCCCCAGCATGTCAAGATTATTAATAAATGCTGACCTAAACAAAGCTCTATAGGTTTCTTCCCTGCAGGACTTCTCAGAGCCTTTGCTATACTAATGAACATGGTGATCTCCATGACCAAGGTGGGCATCTACAAGGCATCATTTCACATGTGCCCACAGAACTCATTTTACCTTCTCATACAGGTGTTCCATGAGATAGTGTGAGATTCCAGAGCTAGTCTGCTTTATTCTAGAAGAAATGACAACCAGAGAGGTGAGGTGAGCTCATGTAGCAAGTATATAGGGGCAGGATTAGAACTCGAATCGAGGTCTCCCGACTCCCATGCCAGTGTTCTTTCTAGCATGCCTCACTGCACTCACCTAGAGAACAATGACAACAAGACAATAGTACAACTGAAATTTACGGAATGTTTACTCAATGCCAGGCACTGTGCTAGGCTCCTCCTCATTATGGTCTCACTTAGCGTCCTAACAGATAGTGCCATATCAAACCCATTGTACTGAGCTCAGAGAGGGCAAGCAACACGTTCAGAATCACACAGCCCATGAATGGTAGAGCCAGGACTCAAACCCGTGTCTGGCTGGCCCTGAGGCCCCGAATTAACCACCCCACAGCAGAAATCCTGAATGTCCAATGCCAAAGTTTTAGGCCTGGGTGGTGTCCTTGGAGATACCCATGTACGGCCCCCACCTGCTTCTCTCAGAACGGCTGGATTGGGGGGTTCCCCGGCTCTGGCAGTCATCACTGGCCCAGGCCCCGGGGACTGACTGCTCAGCATCTAGCCCTCCTGCCAAATGATTTTGGCCAGAGCTGGGCTTGGCGGCGGCATGGTTGGGAGCTGCCCTGAGCTGAGAGCCTCTCGTCAGCCTGAAGTCAGGATGAGCCCTCAATGCGGCTCCCTCCGGGGCTCTCTGTTAAATAAAGATGCCACGGTGGTTCGACCAAAAGGACTCTTTGTCTGAGGCCCTCACAGCCCACACGTCCTCTGCCCCTGGAATGCCGGTCTCTGTCGGCATGAAGAGCCCCTGTGTTCGCTGCTGGGGCTGTGCGAGCCCTTGGCCGGCCGGGGCCAGCGCCGCGGGTGGGTGGCAGTGTGCTCAGCCGGGAGGGTGCTAGCGCTCTGGGCTGGCTGGAAACCTGCCCTAGCCCCCTTCCCTCTTCCTTGCAGGGAGGTCACCCTAGCAGTGAGTCTGCATGCAGCCCGGGTCCCTGGTCATGGTTTCCCTCCTGCGTCCTGCCCACCCAGCGCAGCCCAGCCCAGCCCAGCCCACCCAGCCCAGCCCAGCCCTGAGGTTCTGCCTTGTGCATACAGGCCTGATTTTCCCTCTGTCCCTGTCTGTCATCTCTCTCTCTGTATATCTGTCTCTCCATCTGTGTCTCTACCTTTCTCTGTCTCTTTGTCTCTCTCTGTCTTCCTCTTTCTCTCTCTTTGCTCAGTCTGTCTTTTCCTTTTCCCTCTACCCTTTCTGGGGGAGAAAACAGCACCTACCATGTAGGTTAAGTGAAAACCTGGATGCTTTGGGGTCAGTTTGCACCCATTCTACCTTCTGAGCCCAGGGTTTCATTTTGCACATTAGCACAATAGCCTCGGTGTCCCCGTCATAAACAAAGGCAAGGATGTCTGCCTCCGGGACAAAATGTCTACCTCCAGCGGCACGTCATCACACGTGCTCTGGCAAGGGCAGAGGCTGCGTCTGACTCATCCCTGGGACCCCCGGCAGAGCCCCGTGTCAGACGCACGCACTGAAAAGCCCTCACTGTTTGTTGGATGAGTGAGGTCAAGGGCCCAGGATGGTGCCTGAAACACAGTAGTCGCCCATTAAATGTTCATTTCCCTTCTTTGCTGTTTCTTGACTGTTCGTGGGGATGGAACGTGTTAGAGACCCTTGGAAAGCCATGGGCTCTAGAAACAACAGCTGTGAGTTGCATAGTGTTGTCTTACCTGCTCCAGTCGGGTCTTGTCTCATCTTGCCCAGGTGCGGGTATGACATCAAAAAGGACCATCGTGGTGGGGTGCCTGGTGCTCAGTGCCACACCTGCATGGTTACCTGGCCAGCTCAGAGAAGAGTTGAACAATTGCTTCCCTGTTCCTTAACACTAGACTTTTCTCCTTGCAGTCAAAGACCACATGTGCCTTTTTTTTTTTTTTTTTTTTTTTTTTGCCCCATTATCATGTCCCACTACTATTGGGTATTAGGCTTTGGCACAGCAAAACCCTTCTTCATTCATTCATTTGAGCAAATACTTTTTGCCTGCCTGCTCTATGCCAGGCACTCTTCTAGGATCTGGGGACACACACAGTCAACAGAACAGACTCCCGATTGCATGGAGCTTACCTTCTAGCAAGTTCTTTCCCACCCTTGACAGGGCCTGTGGGCAGGCCACGTGGCCTCTCTGAGCTTCCACCTCCTCATCGGTAACATAAGGTTGAGATCTGCCCTCCAGAGGATCATCATGAGGTTCCCAGTGACTCCGCACATGGAGGCCCCAGCATGTTCCTTGGTACAGGGGAGCTGCCCGATCGGGTCACGGCACCTGAAGCAACCCCGGTGAAGGGGGCCCAGGGAGGCACAGGCACGTGACAGGCTCCTGTTCAGCTGACCACTTACCTGGAGCCTCCTAATGAGCAGTCCTTTGCAATTCCCACAGTCCCAAGTTTCCCTCTCCCTTCTCCTGGCTCTATCCCAGAGTTCCCTTGGCCCGGGCCCTCAGCCCTGCTTTGGCAGCGACCTCTCCTGTCTGTTCGTACTAAAGAATCATTCCAGTATCTTCTCTGCATACGGAATGGAGTGGCCAGGAGCAGGGCTTCACCTGGTCTCATGGCAGCACCCCCACCCTGCCTCCATGTTGGGCAGGTCAGGGGTCCCAGGTGCCCCAGGCTATGAGGGGTAGAGTATGCACTGGTGTGCAGCAGGAGTTCTGACCACCTCTGGCTGTCACGGCTCACTTTCCAGCAGCAGATGCTCAGGCCTCCCTGGAGGACAAGCTCACAGCCGGCTCATGCTCCTACCTGGACAGTTATCCCCACCCGGTGACCGTCTTCTCCTCTCAGTGTCAAAGTGTCTTTCCTAAACCCCCCTCTCTGCTAATCGTCCTAGGTCCCGTCGGATTCCGTCACAGCCCCCTGTTGTCCTTGCTAGAATTATCTGCTTGTCATTAAATAATTGTGCAGTCAGTATTTAGGGACAGTGACTATCTGGCGATTCTGGAATGTGGCTAGTGGGAGACGAGGCTGGTAGAATAAGTAAGGATCTTGGGCTTCCTCTATGGCCAGGAAAGAATTCTTTCAGGGTTCGCACAGAAAGACTAGCTCCTGAGGGCCCTGAGACCTAGGGATCAATGGGCATTGTATTTGGTTTGGTTGGCTGGTTGTGTAGTGGACGAACTGGCTGGTTGAATGGTTGGTTGGCTGGTTGAATTGCTGGCTGGATGGTTGATAGATTGACTGGGGTTGACTGATGAATTATTTTTATTAGTTGACTATTGGTTAGTGGATTAATTGGCTGGTTGGCTAGTGGATGGGATGGATGGAGAGTTGTTTTGTTAGCTAGCTGATTAGTTGATTTGTTGATGAGTTGTCTGGTTGGGTGGGCGGCTGGCTGGTTGACTGTGTCGTCCGTGGCACCGTCCTTGAGCCTCTGCCATCGCTGGCAGCCCAGGGTGACCCTGCTTTGGGTTTTAATCAGACCTAATGCCCTTTTTCCCTGTCTTTCCACAGGCACTTGTCCGGCTCCCCCCGCACATTTCACAGTGTGATGAAGTCTTTCGGTTCTTTGAGGCCCGACCGGAGGATGTCAACCCCCCGAAAGAGTAAGTGGTAGCTCAGGTCTCTTCTGGGTGCTTTGAGGTGCGGGCTAAAGCTGAGGGCAGCCTGGAGAGGCTCCGGATGTGGAGACACAAGGAAAAGGAGATTGACCAAAGGGATATGGACCATTATTCCCCAGGCTCCTACTGCCAAAGCTTGCTCCTCATTTCCCTTGACCCAAGGGCTGGCAAGTAAGAGTGTCTCTGCATCTGGGGAGCAGGTTTTCCTGCACACTCATTCTAGCTCACAGGTTACTGTAAGGAGCAGATGAGGTAAAAGAAAGTCTAATGGTCCCTCTGCTCAGATGTCCAGGATTAGCAGTCATTGCTCTTAATTGCTGTTGCTACCAAACTCCCAGATGCAATGCAGGCCGGGGGAGGCATGTGCTGTCCAGGCTGAGAACTCACCTGCTGAATAACTCCTGGGCTAGTTCATGATAGACATTAGTAGCCATGTTTACAGAGGAGGAAACTGAGGCCCAGTGAGGTTAGGTGATTTCCCCAAGTCACACAGCTGGTTGGGTATGTGACGGGCAGGAGGCTTGAACCCAAATCTTTGATTCCCAGCGACCCCCATGCTGGCTGATATTTCCGTGTTTGGGGGGAAATGGGGAACCAGGCAGGTGTCTCTTCTCTCTGGAATCAGGATGCTCTGGGTCTGGGGGTCAGGATGATCTGCCCAGTCATGCTGGTTTCTCACACACGTGACCAGACTCCATTGTGAGGGCCACCCTGTCTTGCTCAGAAGAGTTCCCTCACCTGACTAGGTTCTCAATGGAAACAAAACTCTGGTTTCCACCAGGAGCTGATGAGCAGAAGAAGGGAGGCAGCGAAGTGTGTTGGCTAGAGGATGAGGGGAGGACTGTCAGGGATGCTACTAGAGCACCTCACGCAACGTCTCTTTTCCCCTAAAATCTTAAAGTACCAGGATGGGTGGCAGAGAGGCAGAGGGGGTGGGTACTCCAGAGGGAAGGGAAAGAATTGTACGGAGGAGCGATGTGGGACAGGTGGGAAGAAGCCGGAGGCCATCTGGTGATGGGGAGAAGTCTGAAGACAAGGGTGTGTATTGCGTGGCTCTAGGGGCACCATTCACTGCACTGTGAACAGTGCTCACGGAGGTTGTAAAGTGTACGGTCTGCACACCCATACATGGCAGTCCTGCCGAAAGGGGCCCTTCTCTTTTCACTCGTACTAGAAGACCAAGAGCCTGGACTGGCCTGGGCCCGCGCGGGGAGAAAAACCTACCCAGCCCCAGAGGCTTGCCGTCTCTCTGATGGCTGCCACGGGCTTAAGAAATGAGCAAATGCTACAAACCATCAGAAACTCCTCAGTGACTGGCTCACAAGGCAGACTCATTGAAAGCTACAGAGAATAGGATGAGTTCACACCCCAGCTCTACTGCTTACTAGCCACACAACCTCGAGGCAGATCACTCCCATGGCTTCCCCGAGCTTCATTTCCCTCATCTGCAAAAAAGGGAATAGTGATGAATCCCTGTTCCTGCTACCTCCAGGGATTATCTATGAAAGTCAGAGGACATGAGGGCTGGGCAAGAGCTTCGTAAACAACAAAATGAGATAGAAATGTGTGTTCCACCAGAGGGAGAAGCACAGCTCTCACTGCACCTGCTATGTGTCAGGCTCACGAGAGAGGAGTTAGAGTCTTATCCCCACATTACAGATGAGGGAACAGAGGCTCACAGCGGGAGCCCGGACTTGAACCCAGATTCTTCAGGTCCATACAGAGGCCTGTACCCTTTCCACTGCTCCCGCCTGCCTCCCGGGTTTGGGAGGAGTCAGGGGGACTGGGGTCCTGACGCCTCTCTGTGTGGCTGTCCGTGCTGCTGCCTAGCCGTCCTCACTCTCCCAGGGCAGAGGAAGGCTCCTGAGACCCCAGCAGTGGCCCCGGTCCATCCGGCCCTGATGGTCTCTCACAGCCTCCCCTGTCCTTTCCATTTTTCCTTCCCTGGGGAGAGAAGAGATGTCCCTCCCCTGGCGATGGTCACTGAAGTCCCATATGATCACGTGCCCACCGGAGGGGGGAGGGATCGTTGCTGTCGGGTGAAGTAGCAGGTCCATCGCCACAAAATCACTGACCCCGCCTTTGATTCGTGCCCCTCAGCGCCGTTCTCTCCCAGTCAGCTACATAAGTTGGTCCTATTTCACCTCTCCACCTACGCACTCACGGCAATAGGTTAGCCTTTTGCCCATTTCCAGAAGGCCCTCAGGAATGATGCTCACCGGGCGTGGGGAGACGGTGGTGCATTGGTGAGGCAGTGGGCATGGCTTTGCAGAGCCAGGCTCTGGGGTCAGGGCCTGCCACTCAAGGCGGTGATCTCTGGCCATTGGCTCAACTTCTCTGTGTTTCTGTTTTCCCATCCCTAACACATGATAACGCGGGACTCATGGAATGGTCAAGAGGGCTGACAGAGATAACAAGTGGATGAAGACAACCCATAGGAAGTACTCGGCAGTTTTGTTCCTGGAAGGTTGTAGAACAGAATGGAATGTGGCTCAGTGCACACTCCCCCCTGCAGATCACAGCCTGGCTTTTGCAGGGAGGGGTCATAAAGCATTTGCCTCCAAGTCACCATGGCAGTGGGGTTATCGGCCTCTTTCTTGAGGTGCTACCAGCCACCTGGGCTGGTTCACAGCGGGTCTGGCAAGAGACGGCCTGAGACCAGGAAGCCCTCTAGCACAAGACAGACCTGAGGCTCAGGAAGTAGGGTCAGCTGTGGACAGACAGTTCTGAAGGGCTCCTCCTCCCTGGCCCTGCTCAGCCTCCAGGAACTGCCAAGAGAGACGTGTGTTCCAGACCACAGTGTGCTTGCCGTTAAGAGCCCAGACCCGTAGGTGACCCTGGCCTGACAGGCTGATGATTTATCAGCCAAGGGCCTGCACCCCCCTGTCTCGAGCTGCTTGCACCTTCCCCGCCAGCCGCAGTACACCTCCCCCTCCATCCTGAAACATAAACACAGGATCAAATAACAGTGTATTTTGACTCAGGGGCGACTGTAGAGCGGCTTATCAAATTATCAAAGCCTGTGGATTTAATTGGAATTTTGCAGATAACCCCCTGGCTCTTTCAAGTGTACTGCTGCAGGGGCCCTGCGGGCGTGCACAGGGCCTGGGGGTTGGGGGGAGCTGGGTCCCTTTAGCATCTTGCTGGGAAGGCAAGGCTGTGGCAGCGCAGCCTTGGCGGGGGAGGTGGAGCAGGCCCGAGCCCCTCGGCTTTGACCCCAGACCGCTCGGGGGCTTCTGTGGGGGGGAGAGCAGGGTCCTCTTCTGAACTGCTAGGCTGACTCTAGACCACCAGCCCCACACGGAAAGGATGCTCCTTATAGACGGACACTTCAGGTGAGCTTGACCCAGTGCAGCCACGGTGGCGCCCCGTCCTCGTGCAGCCACCCCAGGAAGGCAGCTCCCGTCCTCCCGCCTCCCGCGACGAACACCAGGGGCTGGGCCAACCCCAAACCCTGGCCCAGATTCGTCCCTTTCCTCCGCACCCCGCCATCCACTCAGCACATCCGGTGCGTACTGCCTTCGGAGTGTTTCCGGACCCAGGCTGCCTCTCAGCATCTCCCCTGTTGCCACCCTGAGCCACCCTATCACCGGTCCTCCCGTGGAGTCTGGCCTCCCTGCCTCAGCCCGTGCTCTCTCTGTGGTCCATTTTCAATATAGCGGAAGGAAGGATCATTTAGAAAGATGCGTCAGATTGTGTGGCTCCTCTGCTGAAAATCCCCCATGCCTCCCACGTCCCTCAGAGTCAGGGCCCCCTCAGCCTGGCCCTCCCTTCCCTCCGACAGCACCCTCTGCCGCTCCCCCACCGGGCTCCTCTCCTGCCGCCCTGGCCTGCTGGCTGCTGCCCGCCCCTGGCAGCCCTGTTCCTGCCCTGGGGCCTTTGCACTGGTTCTTGCCTCTGCCTGGGCCCCTTGGCCCCTCTCCAAGTGAGCCCCTTGGCCTGTTCCCACACCTCCTTCCAGTCTTCCCTCAAACCGCTGCTCAGCAGGGTGGGCCCTGGCCTTCGGCTAAAATCCCCCCCGGCGCTTGCCTTCCCCTTCCTGGCTTCATCCTTCCTCGGGGAGAACGTATCACCTCCCACACGTGGCCTGTCCACACGTGGCCTGTCCACGCGCGGCGGTGACTGTCGGTCCCTCTCACTGGGACATCGGTTCTAGGGGAGCGGGAGCTTGTACCCATCCTCTTCAGGCTACATCCCCGGCGCCCAGAGGAGGTGCTCAGAAAACATCTGCCAGAGGAAAGACTGATCGTTCAGCCTTCGTTATAGTCTTACACGGGAGACAGCCCATGACGGGGCTCCTCAGAGGACATCAAGGCCCAGAGAGCTGGCGTAGCTTACCTCGTCAGCCAGCTGGCAGGCGGCACGGCCCCGGCCCAAACCCGGCCGACTGGCTCCCGGCTGCCGCGCCTAACGTGGCCCTAACCCCGCGCTCCGCTCCTGCTTCCTAAGTCAGCCCCCTCCTCGCAGCACCCCCTGCTGGTCCCCACCCGGCCAGGGCACATGGAGACCAGCCTTGGCCCCTTGGACAACCGATTTCTTTTTGAGGACGATGTGTTCTGGGGAAGCCCAGTGGTTGAATAGGAACACCCGCAGGTGTGTTTGTGTGTGTGTGTGTGTCAATGCATGTGTATGCATGTGTGAGTGTCTTGATGGAGGGGCAGAAAGGAAAAGGAAGATGTTAGCTTTTTTGGTTACTTCCTCTGTACTCTATGTATTATCTCATTTAAATCTCAGGCCGCCCCTGAGGTCAGTACTATTATCCCTATTTAGCGGATGGGGAAACAGAGGCCATAGTGGTACATGGCTTGCCCCAGGCCACACAGTTGAGAAGCCGGAGAGGCAGACCTTGAACAGGCCCGCTTGCCTGGGAATGGGGGGCACTGTCCTGTCGGCCACCCCCACCCCCCACCACACACACACACACACACACACACACACACACACACACACACACACATCCCTTGGGAGGGAACTGAGCATCTCTC